AGTGCCAGGATAGGCTCCAAAGCTACACAGAGAAACCCTGTCTCCAAAAACCCAAGAGAGAGAGAGGAGAGAGAGAGAGAGAGAGAGAGAGAGAGAGGCTTCTAATTTCACCGTGGTCCCAGATGTGGGGTGGGAACCAGTGTGCTCCTTGAACAAACATGTAGTCAGCGTCTGCAAGGCCCGGAAGAAGTGGGTCTTTCATCGGTCAGCACAGGAAGACAGCCTTTTGGTTCAAATCAGGCTTTTCTCAGTGGACCACAGCAGCTTCCCAAAGGATGCTAGCCTGCCATCTACACTTCCTGTTTGCCTTCTTCCCTGGCACTCCCCTTCCAACACCGTCTAGGCTGGGGAGTGAATGGCACCCCTACATCCCACACGAGGACCCTGCTCCTCGGTGTGCGTCTCCGGAAAGCTGGATGTGGTGGTGCACCCCTGCCATCCCAGCGGAGGCAGGGTTGGGGTTCAAGGGGTGCCCATACAGGAGCCGCTCAAGCCAGGAGGCCTCTGTGGATAGCGCTTCCCTCCCGTGTGAGAGACCCTGGCCTCTAGCTCCAGTCCCCAGAACATTCAATCAGAGACCTAGTCCCAGGGTATAGGTGTGTTAATCGACCCCAGACTCCTTTATCAAAACCATCCTAAGGCCAAGTATCTCAGCCTTGTTTCCAGATCCCTGCTTAGTGTCATCATACTAACCAAGGGGGCAAATCAGCAAATCCTACCGACCCATAGGAGGAGGGCTCAACCCCCTTTGAGCCCCAAGCACTGGAAAGGAACTTGTGTGAGACTTTCCTCCTCTTCCACTTTCTCCATTTCTTGGGGGCGGGGTGGGGGACAAGATACCAGTGTGTAGCTCAGGATGGACTCAGACACTAAGATGGAATGTGTGCAATCCCCTCCCCAACTTTCCAGAGTTGGGGTCTCCCCAGAACTAACTCAACTTCTGACCTCATGTGATCATCTTGCCTCAGCCTGCTCTTGTTTCTATAGCTGCGATCCTGTCAGATCCAAAACTCAGGACAAGTGGCTGTCTTGGTGCCCATTAGCACTCCAGTGTCTGTGGGCCTCCAGGCTCCCTCAGCTCTTCTCCCCCCAACCTGCAACCCCCAACCCTAAACTTCTCCAGCTAATGGGCTTCCCTTCCCCTGCCAGGCATCTCATTCTTAAACTTCCCTGCCCCATTTCAGCCACTCGCTCTTAGCCCCTCTCTGGGTCTTTGTCCACACACTCCACTTCCCTCTGTCCTCTCATGGCCCAGTTCAGTCTGCTGGCTGTGTTTACTCTGTCCCTGCTCTGGACCTTCAGGTGCCTCTGGCTGCAGGCTGCTCAGACCTGGTTATGTCCTTGCTTTAAACATCTGGTGCTGGATTCCCAGGCTGAGGCAAGGGGATCAAATTCCTGGTCAATCAAAGGTTGGGTATGTGGGGAGACCTGTTAGATAGGGAGCCCTGGCAAGGTGGCAGGGGTGCAGGACCTGCACTGTCTGTACTTCATGTTCACAACTAGAAGGTAAACCCACACTGACCCAGAAGCATGGCTGTCTGTTGTCACGACCAGATAGGAAATATGCTTTGAAGGATTGAGGAACCCAGCTCTTCCTCCTAGGTCAGATTAACCTGTGAATGTGGTGGGCAGCTGCCAGGCAGTGGAGCCCAGTCCTGGATCACTCCATAACCTTGGTCAGTCTTTCCACTGGCCAACTGTGTGGTCCTTGATGTCTAGCTCTCTGGCCATCAACTCTGTGGTCCCTGATAACTCCACCAGGCCTCAAGATCAGACAGGGACAGGCACTGGTTCCTGGACCACAGTGGTCTCAGCACAGGACTGCCACGGATTATAGGAGGGAGCAGGTAGCTTCTGTTCCCTCCTCCCCCTCCCCCAATGCCCCACTCCAGAGTAGTGGGGCAGGGAGCTGGACACCAGGGAGGATGCCCCTGAACTCAGGGACTTCAGAGACCTGGCAAGTGGGGCCAGATGGATGCAAGGGGCATGTTTCATGACAACCTATGTGTGTACATGTGTACTTTCAAGTCACTCTGTGCTGTCTGTGGAGGTTCCAGCAGAGCTGAGTCTGGATGATCAAGAGCACTGGCTGCTCTTCAGAAGACCAGAGTTAAAAAAAACAAAAAAAAAAAAAAACCAGGGTTTGCTTCCCAGATATCAATGGTTACTCAACCATCTATAACCCCAGCTCCAGATGATCGATGCCCTCTTCTGGCCTCCAAAGGAACCAGGCATGTGCGTTACATATATACATTTAGGCAAAACACCCATATATAAAATTAAATACATTTTAAAAACGGTATTTTAAGTGGAAACAAGTGATAGGCCAGTAGGATGGCTCAATGGGTAAAGGTGTTTGCTGCTAAGCCTGATGACCCTTTAACTCACACGCTAGAAAGTGAGGACTCCCCATCCCCCACAAATGCGCCGTGGCATATGCAGCCATATTCACCAGACATGCACCAGTTATGGATATTTTGCCTGCAAGTCTTGTCTGTAGTGTGCAGTGCCTACTGGGGCCAGAAGAGGGTGTCAGGCCCCCTGGAGTTACAGATGGTATGGGTTGCTGTGTGGGTGCAGGGAACTGAACCCTGGTCTTAGCCACTGAGGCATCTCTTCAGCCTCATTAAATGTAATTTAAAAATATTTTCAAGTGATAACAAAATGGCTAGGACAGTGTTATCATACTTTCATTTCAGATTCAACTGTCTCACACCTGTTTTCCAGGCAGCTGCGAGTGCAGAGGAACCCTGGAAAGGACAGGTCTCTGCTCCACAAAGGCCAAATATTCCTAAGGAAACAACTGCTGGCTGCTTCATGTTGCTGGGGTTCACATGTGCCTGTCATTTGACAGTGCAGATATGGAAGGAGGGGGACCTGCCTGCTCTATTCTGATTGCATCTCGTCTGTGTTGAGTCGGGGCCTCTGTGTAGGGTCCATGATTCCCAGGTCAAGGAACTCTGCTGCTTCAGTGTCCTGAGCAGTCATGAGCCTCTGTGGCTAGTATCCGAAGCTTGCCATCTGGGTTTTCCATGTTTCTCTTTATTGCTGAGACACAGCCTCGACCTTCCTGGATCACGGAAGCTGAGTGAGGGGAGCAATCATCTGTATGAACACATTCACTACTGCATGGCCCTACATTCCAATTCAAGGTGTGCTGGATGGTTATTTCAAGCTGGGGTCATCTGAGAGGAGGGAATTACCTCTCCATAAGAAAATGCCCCCATAAGTGGGCTGTAGGCAGGATCATAAGACATTTTAATTAGTGATCAATGGGGGAGGGCCCAGCCCACTGTAGGAAGTGCCATCCCCGTCCTGGTGGTCCTCTAACAAAGCAGCTGAGCAAACCACAAGGAGCAAGCCAGTAAGCCGCACCCTCCATGGCCTCTACATCAGATCCTGCCTCCATGTGCCTGCCTGTTTGAGTCCCTGTCCAGATTGCCTTCCATGAACAGTGAGTGCCGTGGAAGGGTTAGCCCTTTCTCCCCAACTTGCTTTTGGTGATGGTGTTTCATTGCAGCAGTAGAAACCCTTAAGACAAGTTGGTATCAGGAATGAGGTGTTGCTCTGACAGGCCTGTGTTTTGGGAGGACTGTGGAAGGACTTCGGAACTTTAAGCTAGAAAGGACACTGAGTGTTGATAGCTCTGTGGGCTGTTTTGTAGGAGCTTGGAATATAAGGATGCTGAGGGCAGCCAGGGTGGTGGTGCACTAGGGAGGCAGAGGCAGGTAGATCTCTGAGTTCAAAGCCAGCCTGTTCTACAGAGTAAGCTTCAGGATAACCAGGGCTTCATCTCTCTGTCTCAAAACAAAAATGCAGAAAACAAAACAAAAAAAAGGACCAACATTGTTGAGGTGACAGCTTCTGGGAAGTGTTTTCTGACAGCACACTTAAGCTGTCTTCCAGAGGGGGCTGACGGGCCTTGCACTTAACTTGGTAGTATGAGACACAAGTTGTACTAGTTTTGAAGACATGAAGGGGTCATGGGAAACAGCTGAGACCTGGCACTGTGAAGCCTACTAGAGGCTTCTGGTTAAGGTAGCCCAGTTGTAGCATTAGATCCCAGCACTTTGGAGATGCCAGAAGCTATGCAGTGGAGTCAGCTGGAGTCTAGTGCTGCAGAGAAAGTGTATGTCAAAGAAGTGACCCCAAGCTCTTTGGAGGAGCCCAGAAGATCACCAATAGGATCCCAGACATGAGACATGTTAATACAGCTGGAGGTTCTTTCTTCCCTCTTAAAGAAAATACTTATTTTTCCATTGAGACTAATTTTTTTGATGATTCCTTTTTATTTTTTTGTTCATTGGTATTTTGCTTGCATGTATGTCTGTGTTGAGGGTGTCACATCCCCTGGAACTGGGAGTTGTGAGCTGCCATGTGGGTGCTGGGAACTGACTTAGGTTCCTCCAGAGGAGCAGCCATCTCTCAGGCCCCCAGAGACATTCCGATTTTGAGAGAGGCCTGTGGACCAGCATTGCCTGGTCTGGGGACTACATCAGCATGCATAACAAACAGCTTATTATCAATATGGGGCAGATGTCCAGGGGATGGGGTCACTGGGCTGGAAGACACCTATTTTGGGGACTGCTAACACTGTCATCAGGCCTGGGCTGCTTGTTATCAGGGCTGGGGGCACTCACCATGAGGGCTGGAGACACAAGTATTTAGGGATACTTTGTTACTGGGTCTGGGTTGACAGATGGCTGTCAGGGCCTAGAGAATGTGTGTTGTCAGGCCTCTGAACCTCTGTAGTGAGGGCTGGCCTGGGGCCACCTGTCATCAGGGCTACAGAGGTCCATCACTGTCACCTTTCCTGCCCTCTTGACAGGACTGACTTTTTGAGACAGTTTCATTCTGTGGCTCAGCATATCCTCCTGCCTCAGCTTCCCTAGTGACACGAGCCACTACATCCAACTCATTTCCTGTTCCTCCACTCAGTGTGTGCCCTCAGATGCCCAATGCCTCCCCCAGGCACCTCAGTGACTGCAGTGCAGGCCGCATGGCGGGTCTGCTCCTTATTTATTCTGAGCACTTGACACGACAACACCATGACATCTCAGATCCTCACAAACACAACAACGTCCAAGTGTGACATCACCAGTGTTCTTCTGCGTTTTACCAGGGACCAGAAACAACCTTCACCAAGTACTTCCAGGAACAGGAGAGCGCCAGAGCCACGGCAGGCCAGGCCAGCACAGCTTTTGGAATCCATGGCCCTTGTGGAAGTGACCCTGGAACTAGAATGACAGGAGAAACACTGTGACAGGGACAAGGCCACATGAATGTGCATCAGGTGTCCTCCATAGCCCTGCCCACAGAGCAACTTGGCTGGAGAGCAAGGTGGCCCCAGGAGGGCAAGGACGGCAGTGTGTGTGAGAGGAGGGTCATGCAGCTCGCATGGACCAGTGTGAGGTATATGCTCCCTCTCCCCACCACCTGCCCTGTCCCCAGAAGAGCACCAAGAAGGTCATTCTCAGCTTGGGAAGCAGCTCCTGATGGTCTCGGTTCCAAGAGTGACAGGAGACTTGGCACCAGGGCCATATACCCAAATTCCCTAAATCATTTTGAAGACACAATGGATCAGCACAAAATGCAGATGCCTAGAGAGAAGCTGGAGAGATGAGTGTGTGTGCTCCATTTGCAGAACACACCATAGACCAGGGTCCTGCCAATATGGAAGCGGCTAGAAAAGTGAAAGAAAGGACCAGCCTGGGGTCCCTGACCTGTCATCTCCCAACCTGTAGACTGGCGTAAGGATAAGACTGTGGCCCAGCTGCAGTGCAGCATCCCTATAGCTACAAAGACCTGTGGGTTGCCAAGACAATACAAGAGAGTCAGGTGGGCCTGGGGCTGCACCAGCTATGAAGAAGGGGCCCAGTGGGGTAACAGAAGCCGAACATTACTACACAAGATCCTTTACCTATGCTCATGGCTGACACCTGGCCACCACATCCCCAGCCCTGACAGCAGGCTTTCCAGAAGTCTATAGTGGTGGGGAGGCAGGGACCCCAGAGAGAGTATGTGCACAGACCAGGGGTGGCAGGCATAAGCAGTACTGGGCACAAGGTAGGCTCTGAGACAGCCACCCGAGCAGTGCATCATCCTTCCAGAGGCCCCAGAAAGACCGTCTATGGAAACAGTGCAGCAGTGTCACTGCACTGCTCTGTGGGAGCCACAATGAGGTCACAAGTTCAAGGGTTGGGGTTTTCCTAAGGATACATTCCCCAGGGACAGAGACAGGTATGTGCTGGGCACGTAAGCTCAGTTGTATTAAACTGAGGCTGAGATTTGGAGAAGTCCCCCAAGACAGGGTCCTGCTACACAGCCAGGCTAGACTTTAACTTGCCCTTATTCCCCTGCCTCAGACTGCAGAGCTCTTAGAAGTCTGTAGGAGCTGAGATGTTATTGCTCAAAAGCAAGAATCTACAGTGCTTCCTCCCCACCAGAACCTCTGTGTCCCCAGATAAGGTCTGGGGACAGAAGAAGGTGCAGCACTTGCAGGAGAGCCTGGCCCTGGGCACTAAGGCTGAGGTGCCACCCTACAAAAGAGAGACAGGATGAAGCAGAGTCAGAAGCAGGAAGGGAAGGCAAGGGTGCCTGAGAGTGGCTGCTGCAGTGTGCAGTGGCAAGGCCTGGTGGAGGGTCTGGCCGGGGGACGTGGAGCTGGCTGAGTACACACCGAGCGAGGCTTAGGCTGCAGGCGTCCGGGGCAGGGTGACGGGAAGGGCAAGGCTGCGTCGAGGGTTATCTCTGTCACCAGTGGCTCTGATCTAGTCAGGAAGAGAATGGCTGTTCAGAACTGAGCATGGAGCATTGTGGGAGAGAAGGACAAGAACCAAGAATGAGGGCTATCAATAGGGCTCAGTGGCTAAGGGTACTTGCCACCAAACATGAGGACCTGAGTTCAATCCCAGGGTCCCACATGGTGCAAGGAAAACTGACTACTTATTAAGTTGTCCTCTGCCCTCCACATGGGCAACTCAACACACCTGCTTACACACACACCCACACACACACACACACACACACACACACACACACACACCACTAAATGTAAAAAAAAAAATAAATAAATAACCAAGAGTGGGAAGGATGAGGCCTGTAGGCCCAAGGCCTCCACAAGAACCAGCATTGGAGGCCCACAGGAAGGAAGGTGCAGGCTGGGCAAGGCCACTCATCATCAAGTCTGTCCTGGCTGCTTGATCCTGCAGGGACTATCATCTTTGAGAGAAACCCTGAGCAAGACCAGGCAGGGTCAAGGGTGGCCTGCTCCCACGACAGCATGCTCAAAGCCTGGCAGAGGCACTGGAGCTGAGATGGGGGATGCTTCCTCCTCTGCATGCCTGGACAGGAAGAGGGAGCACATGGCAGGGAAGCTCTCTGCCTCCTTCAGACTCTCTCTCTCATGGCACCAGGTGCTGGTCTGGGTCCTGGCGCACCTATTTGCTGGCCCGCTTGTGTCTGTACATCTGCATCATGCGCTGGCGGAAGACGTCAAACGTGTCTTCTTTCTGCTCTGGCCCATCAGCCCCCAGGCCCTCTCCTTCTGAGAGTGTCCCCCTGCAGAGCAGACACAACAGTCAACAACCAGGTTCAGAGGTCAGTCAGTACACAGGACACGGGACACAGACATCCAGAGAGGAAACAGTCACAGGGCTGGGGCATGGCTCAATGACAGAGTGCTTGCCATGCAATGGTGAGGCCCAGGGTTCTCTCCCGAGCACAGCAAAAATCAAACAAGGAGAAGACAAGCCACAAGCCACAGTGGAAGTGAGCCCCCCTGCCCCTGGGGTGGTGGCTTTTTGTGTTTGAGACCCACCCCCCCCCCCCCCGCCCCAACAGGGTTTCTCTGTGTAAAAGTCCAGGCTGTCCTAGAACTCGATTTGTAGAGCAGGCTGGCTTCAAACTCACTGAGATCCACCTGTCTCTGCCTCTCATGTGCTGGGATTAAAAGCATGTGCCACCATCACCTGGCAAGACACAGTCTTTTATGTAGCCCAAGTTGTCCTAGAACACACAATTCTCCTAGAACACACAATTCTCCTATCTCAGCCTCCCAAGGTTGTGATCACAGATAAGCATCTAGGCCTGACTGGAGCCTTCTGTGGGTCTGCAGCCTGACCACAAGAAGGTGCCTCACACAGAGATGTGTTGACACTCAGGGACATGCCCTCTGGATACATGAACAGAAACTGAGGATCTGTGTCCCCACCCTGGCAGCCTCTAATGGCTTCTAGAAACACCTGTACTGTAACTACCTACAAACGTCACTTAGATTCCAAAGCCATGAGCTTCAGGACCAAGAAGCTGTCCAGAGGTCTACAGAGGAAGGAGCTGCCCACATCTGTGCACCCAAATAATAGCTAATAAAACCACCTAGCTGTACACTGTGGTCTAGTCCCAACACAAGGCACCCAAGAGACCCAAGGCCCCCCCAGCCATGACATACACGCTGACAGGCTCGCGGATGCCCTTCCCGAGGGAGCCCAGGCCGTGGCCTTCCTTCCAGCCCATCTTCTGCAACATCTGGAAGCCTAGGTTCTTTTCTGTCAGCTTCTGCTGGGCAAACTCCAGGTCCTTGGGTTTCTGAGGAGAGAGAGGCGGGGGTAGGTGGACCAGTCTGTGGCAGTGTGCATTGGAACCCCAAGTGCTGTCCTAACCCCAGACGCCTGGGATGGTGAGCCCCACTCACCTCCAGCTTCCCTGTAACATCCCTGGGGGTGCGACTTCTTGAGGCCAGGTCCCTTACCCCAGGGTCAGAATGGGCACCTGGCAGTTGGGTGGCATGCTGCTGCCCTGTGCTGAGCCTGTGAGGGAAACCCTGTGAGGACAGTGGGGCCTAGGCCAAATGATCAGCAGGAATGCTTGAGCAAGAGACTTGTAAGGACCAGTGGCCTCTCCTGTGAGTGGACCAAACACTGCTCTCCTGTGCACTGCAGTTTATATTGTAGGGGCTGAATGGAGTCTCCAGCCCAGCCTCCTGAAGGCAGGGGCTCAGGTTTGCCCATGCTTGACTACTATCTTGAGGATGGGGCTTGCTGTGATGCCTGGGCCAGCATGAGTAACCATCCTGCCTCAGCTTTCCTGAACACCTGGGACATAGATGTGTGCTCTACACCCAGCTCTGCAGAATGCCTGAAGCCTCACTCATCACAGCGACATGTGTACCACTCCACTCTTGCACCTGCAGGGGCTAGGGGTCACTATGCAGTCACACACACCTTCTTTTTGGCTATGGGACGACCCCGAGGCCTGTCGTAAGCGATTCGAACTGGTTCATGGACTGCAAGACAAAAGGGAGAGATCTGTCCACACTGCACATTTGCCCAACGTCCTTGGAGACAGACAAAAATGCTGCCTGGTGAAGACACAGCTCACACCTGACAGCTACTGGTTCCTTTCCCCTCTCCAGCTCTCCAATATTCTACGTCTGCTGAGCTGGGTTGTGAATGGCTGTGATGGAGCCAGCAGCACTGTCTGTGCTAAGAGCACCACTCAACCTAAGAGCGTTGGCCTGCATAGGGATCTGCTGCTTGGGCTGCTTCTTGTGGCCACAGGAACACTCTTGCTTCAGGCAAGCCACAACATGTGGGTCTTGTGCTAATACGGGGAGTATAGTGGTCAAAGGTTAAAAATACTTTTGGGCCAAAGTATAGGCCCAGGGCCATGCAGCACTGGCCTGGCTGGGCTCCCCCACCACCATCACACACAAAGGAGACCCTGGTTGTGTTGGCACATCTGCAGTCTCCTCTTGTGAGAGCTGAGCAGGAGGATTACTACATAAGGCCAGCACAGACCGCATAGGTGTGTTCTGTCTCAAAGAAAACTACCCACAAAACCCCAAAAGACTCAAAGCCTAAGTCCTTAGAGCAGAGAACCCTGTGCACTGTGCCAGGCACTTGGGACCCATCTGCACACACAAGGCCAGCAGGTGCTAACAGGAGGCAAGGTGACTGGCTGTGGCTGGCACATTTGGAATGGCCACTGAGGGCCACAGAGGACTCTGGGGGCACTCACCCTTTGACTCCTGGATGAGACACACCCTCTTGGGGGCAGGGATCATGCCGACTTTCAGCGACTTGCTGCTGATTCTCTTCCTGGGGAAGCAGCTGCCGGAGGAGGCCTGTGACAGGCCAGGGGTGCCAGCCTGGTCCTCCCTGGACCCTTCTCCAGGGATGCTGTCAGTGGGGGAGCTGCCCTCGGAGCCTGGACATTTGGCAGCTCCTGCCTGTGGCCTGAGGGTGCAGGTCTCCTCTCTGCCCTCATCCTCCTCGACTTCCACATCATCTTCCTCCTCCTCAGGCAGCACCTCAGGGCCCTCCAGTGTAGCCTCCTGCTGGGGACGCCCCTCCTCTGGCTCACCCTCACCCTCCTTGTGGGCTGTGGGACTCTGCTCTGAGTCCCCCGCCTCACCAGTAGACTGGAAGGAGATGGATGGGCACAGTTCCAGCACCTTCTCACGGTAGAACTTGAAAGCTGAGCTGCTCTGATCATGCAGGAACCTGAGGATGAAATGCACTGCTGAGCTGTAGGAGTGCTAGCTCCTGGCTTGGCTCAGGACAGAGGCAGCAGAAGGATGAGACCTCTGCATGGCCCTGCTATGGCTTCACAGCCCAGCTAGAGACAGAACGTTCAGAACCAGGACTGGCTGAATCTAATAATCTTCCCTAGATGGGACAAGATGACCCTAAAGTTCATCAAGACAGGATGCTCACGCAACATGCATGAACACCCCCACCATCCCTAGCAACTTAAAAAGAGTCCACGAGGCAGCTCAGCCAGTGAAAACACTTGTTGCACATGCCTGAGAGCTGAGTTCGGTCCCCAGAGCCAAGTTTGCTCAGATTATTTACACATACATGTACACACACTTTAAATCTTAAAAATCAAACAAAAACTAGGGTGTAAAGGCAATCGGGGAAGGACATCCCACAGTGTCAGCCTCCAGCTTCCTTGTGTGTCCACATAGGCAAGTATACCACCATTCATGGACATACACATATGCATACACAGGCACACACATACACAAAAGTGCTGGCAAGTACCAAGTGATTGGTAGTGACCATGACAAGCGGCTGCCGGGGGATGTGAGAGCTGAAGGCACACAGGGTGATGGGCAGCTTGTCTGGTACAAGGGAGTTTGGGGGCAGAGCTGAATGGCTGTGGGGGGAAGCCTGTTGCAGAGTACAGGTACCACCACTCAGTGGGGAATTCAGATGGAGCAGAAGGGAGGAAAAGGAAGCCCCCTGTAGTACACACAGGCTGCTCTGCTCCCTAACCTCCAGAAGCCTGCTGTGTGTACCTCTTGGCCTTGACTCTAACTGGGAGAAGTGAAGCCAGACTGACCATCAATTGAGACCTCAGAAGCCATGAGCTCAAATCAACCACCCCTCCTGTACGTTGTTTGTGCAGTTTTCTGACACAAGGGAGGAGCAGAGCAGAGGTCCTGAGGTTTCCTCAACGACACACAGAGTATCATGAATGACACTGTAGACTGGTAGGAAACTCTATGCCCGTCAGGAGGACAGATGCACAGGTGGAGAAAGGACAGGCCTGGGGACACTCTCTGTAGTACTGGGCTAGGCAGAGGAGCAAGTGCTCAGCACTAGGCTGGGCAAAGGAGACAAGGAGAGAGGTGCACAAGGGTGGCTTCCTGATGCTAGGAAGCGTAAGTGGGAAGGAAAGCCAGATTCTTCTAGGTGATTTTTACTTTAGAACAAAATGGATGAAAAATTCCAGCTGGCACTTGGTAGGCAGAGACAGGTGGATTTCTGTGAGTTCAAGGCCAGCCTGGTCTACAGAGTGAGTACCAGGACAGCCAGGGCTGATTTCACACAGCCCTGTCTTGAAAAACAAAACAAAACAAAACAAAAACAAAAACAAAAAAACCCCAAATATTCCTGCTGGGCATGATGTTGAATGCCATTAATTCCAGTACTCAGGAGGTAGAGTCCAGCCTGGTCTAATAGTGAGTTCTAAGCCAGCCAAGGCTGAACCATAAGATTTGGTCTCAAAAGCAAAACTCAAACTCCTCTCCCTACCATCCTCCACAAATTCAAATATGGGGGCCAGCAAGATGACTCTGGATAAAGGCACTGCCTGCCTCTAAGCCTGACAACCTGAACTTGATCTCCAGACCTATATACATAGTGGAAGGAGAGAAGAACTGCTGCAAGTTGTCCTCTGACCTTTACATTTACACTGTGGCACGCACATGTCTGTGACAAAGTAAATAAACAATGTAAAAATAAACAAACCCCGCTGGGGTCTGGGTATATGGCTCAGTTGACAGGAGTGTTTGATGTGCAGGAGCCCAAGTGCCAGAACAGCAGTATCTCCATGAATTACTAAGAAAGTCCACGCATAGGCCTGATACAAAGCATCTGTCAGTGTAGGCCCAAGAGGCAGGCTATGACAGCGGCCCTGACAGTACGTGTGGGCAGAAGCAGCGCTCATGTGCTTGTGCATGCACACGCGCGCGCACACACACACACACACACACACACACACACCCACACACACACACCCACACACACACACACACACACACACACACACCCACACACACACACCCACACACACACACACACACACACACACACACCCACACACACACACCCACACACACACACACACACACACACACACACCCACACACACACACCCACACACACACACACACACACACACACACACACACACACGCACACTCTCTATCATAGAACACACACACATAAGCTACTAGCTTATGCGGTGTTGGGGACAGACACCAGGGCTCCATGTATACTGGGCAAGAAGTCTACCAACTGACCCAAACTTGTATGTTTCCAACTGTACTCAACTGTAGCACCAAGGACAGACCCAGGCCTCCTGCACTTAAACATTCAACGGCATTTTCAGTCAGACCATGACACAGCTCTCCAGCAAGTAGGAGGAGACCCAATAGTGCCAGGCTTAGTCCTGGGAACCCACGAGTGCAGTGGAGGCTGGGAGGTCTTACACGGCCTCTGCAAGAGTCCAGGAGAGCCTCCACCACAGGCTAGAGTTCCCTCAGCAGCTGGGAATCTTCTGGGCTGGTTTCTGGATTTTTCTCAGACAACTTGTGAGGCACACACACAAATGCTGCTGGTGTACCCAGTCTTTGTGTGAGGGCTGAAGGAAAAGAGGGTGAGGCCTTTCCTGATGGTCTAGGTGAAAGCTGACACAACACATGCCAGCTCTGGGCCAGGCTCAGTGAAGGTGGAACCCATCTTGCCTGCTCAGTGTGCGGCTGTAGGGTGTGGGGGTCCAGGGCACGTACCACAGGTCAGGGTTGTCCGTGCTGCTCTCTATGCTGAACTGCTCAATTTCAGGGCCCACCTGAGCCACGAGTCTGGCCAGCTTCTCAGCAGTCTCCATGGTCTTTAGATCTACTACAGAACAGAAAAAACAAGACTTGTGGCTCTTTAGACTGACTCAAGCCACCTACCCTTGGTCCTTCCCTGCACTGTGTGACTCTGGAGCCCTCTCCTTGTTCCAATTAGCCAATAGGCAGTCTGTGGCAGAAGCACCAGCAGTCCCATGAACACCTGGGCTGGCTGCCAGGGTAACAGGTACATGGCTGTCACCTTCATCACATCAGCCAACAGGCTGCCAACCTGCTGCTCACTCTTGAAGCTCAGGTCAGCAGCCACCCTGCTAGCAGCTGAGGACACGGCTGGAGCCAGCCAGGAGCAGAGAAACATGGCTTGGGCATTGTGCAGGTTGTGTATGTTCCCACTGCAAGCTAGGCAGGAGTACTGGGCACAGCAAAGGTGAGCTGGTGGTGACCAAACATGTTACATCATTAGCCTCACACCTTGGCAGGGGCAGAGTCATACAGAAGGCATCCAAGGAAATCATGTGGGGCTTGGGCTTCGTGGGCGCTGCATCTGTAGATTTGACTGGGCTAGGTTGAAAATACCTACAATGGTCTCACGGTACAGCTTGTGAGTGTTTGCCTAGCAGGCCTGAGGCCCTGCATTCAATGGCCAGTACTGCTGAACCCAGACCAATGAAGACACTTAGAAAGCAACAGCCTGTCCTTACTTCATTCTCAACCACCCTTAATATAGGGATATAATATAGGGACAAATATTTCTGTAGACTTTTTATATTATTATTATTAGAGACAAGGTCTCACTTAGGTGAGGCAGTCCAGGTCCTCCTGCCTCTACATTCCAAGTGCTGGGATGACAGGTGTACCCCAGCCAGCTTCATGTAGTGTGGGTGTTGTTAGATGCTAGACAAGATGAAAATGTAGTGGAGGCCAGGCATGGGGACAAAGACGTAGCAGGTCAGTGGCTGTAAGTTCCAGTCCAGTCCCAGCTACATATGTACAAGGGCAACCAGGACTAGAGAGTGAGACTCTATCTCAAACAAAATAAGCTCTTGCAGGCCACAGTGGTGCACACCTCTAATCTCAGCACTTGGAAGCAGAAGCAGATAGACCTCTGTGAGTTTGAGGCCAGTCTGGTCTACGCAGTGAGGTCCAGACCTATATGGAGAAATCCTGCCTCAAATCTCTCACAAACACATCCAAAAGAACAAAACAACAACAACAACAAAAAACAAACAAACAAAAAACAAGCAAAACTGTGCAGATTCTCTGAAAACTGAGTCCTTTTCCAGAAGACTTTCCTCAGTGGACTCTGGCACATGTAAAGAACTGCCCTTGCCTCGACTGCTGTCAGTGGACACACTGTCCTTACTGGACAAGCAGGACATAAGCAAAGACACTGCTAAACATTGCCAAGACAGGGTAGGACAACCTTTTGAATTTTCCTGCTTCTGATAAAGCCAAACTTGGTGGCCCCAACATTACTGGTGAGACCCAAGTAGTCAGCTGTTTCTGTCATTTCTTGCACCTTTAGAAGTCGCCCACTTGCACTTCCTGGTTACCCAAGTAATGCTATTTTCCTTCTCAGGTCTTTGATGAGGTTGAAAACTAGATAGGCACAGCTAACATCCTCTCTTATCTTAGCTAGAGCATATTAGGTACAAGATTCAGACTTTCCAAGATAGGACAGCTATTTGAATAATCTCTGTAGTATGCCATTTACCCTTTGTCTGGATATTTAATATGTGTTTCTTGCTTAACGTTGCTTTTGCTGGTTGTTGGTCTAAATTTGTGTAAGTTTTTACCTTTCTTTCTCTTGGGCTATACTTGGTATCTGTTACCACTGTATATAGTTTTTATATCAGGTTTAAAACCCTCTTATTTAGAGAAAAAGGGAAAGTGTACTGGTATCTTGTTCCGCCAATAGATTTGAGGTACTGGCCTTAGCATGTGGCTTCAATATGCAGATGTGATCCCTTATAAGGAAGAGGAGGGGCCTCATTCTCTTTTGGGTGATGGTTTGAGCATCCTGCATCACAGCATCCTAAACCTCTAGGAGCATTAGACTACAGCTATTTACCTCCACTGTGTGAATGCTCCCCAAATAAATATCTGTTATTCTTTATTCAGGCATTCATGGACTTCCTAAACCCACCTTCAATGGTGGTGTGACATAGGCCCAGCAAGGCTTAGGAGGAACATGAAGGACAGTGTGGTCATGTCCCATCTTGTTCAAGTTCTTTTGGCTATTCCAGCCTGCCACCTGGCCTAGACTGCTGAGCACCTGGCTCCTCCACTCCCACCATTCCAAGGGATACAGATGAGCATAGGGACAGGAGGGGTGGGGTGGGCACTTACCATCAGCAGAGGGGCAGGGAGAAGAGGCCAGCAGGACTTCTGAGTCATCCTCTATTGGCCGAGATGTGCCCAAGGCTCCAGGGCTGCAGGGCTGAGGGTGGGGTTTGGCAGACTCTGGTAGACAGTCCTGGGCAGCATCACTTGAGTCCCGTGGTGGTGGCTTCACCTGCAAGGAGCCTACAGCCTGGCGGCCATGGTGTCTCTGCCGAGTGGCTGAGGACAGGGATATGTGCTGGGCAGTGGCAGCTCTCTTGGTCTTCATGGCTCGAGGACCCTGGGAGCGAAGCAGCCGCCTGCGCTGCCATGGGAGGAGTCTGCGCTTGAGGCTTCGCACAGCTTGAGCATACAGCATGGCACGCACTGCGCACTGTGCTGGTGTTGGCCTCCGTTCCACGATGGGCCAGCTGTGGTTCAGCCGCTGCGACTCTGCCAACTTCAGCTTGTAGTATTTATACTCCAGGCTGCTCTCATCAGACAGAAACCTGCCGAGCAGACACAAGGCAGAGCACTGTGAGAGCAGTACTCTGCTCAGCAAGGCATAGCTGCCCTCCCAAGTGAGGCAACTCCTGTCCTCTGTTGTCCAGGTGCCTAAGAAAGTCAGGAGCTGTGATCCAGCTGGGTATGGAGGTGGGGGAGGCTTATTTACTCTTAATCCTAACACTGGGTGGGGAGGAGGCTGAAGCAGGGGGAACTGTAGAAAACTTGAGGCCGGTCTAGACTACAGGAGCCATTATCTTTTTGTTTACAGCCCTGGCTGTCCTGGGATTCGACTCACAATGCAGACAAGGTTGGCCTCAAACTCACAGAGATCCACCTGCCTCTGTCTCCATAGTGCTGGGATTAAAGGCATGCAAGCAAGAATTGGTTAGATTTCTTCTTGACTTTGGTCAGCTCAGAGCTGGTGCTGCAGGTTCACAGTGCCCTGCAGCAAGCACCCTGGCAGACAGAGGGGCACCCTTCACATGGCTGTGTGTCAAGTGCTTCACGAGCTTTCTTTGTGCTACTGAGGTGGGTGTGGCAACACTGAGGGGAGTCTGAGACATTTCCAGATGCACCAGGGACAGCTGAACTGAGCAGGCTGAGGTGGTCCCCTTGCTGCCTCCCTGGGGTACAGGGTGTCAAATCTCTGCTGGATGTGAAGCAACACAAGAAATGGGAGCCAGTGTCTTCCAGTCTGACCCTGGCATTTGTAGTGAAATTCTAGTACAGTCATTGTATCTAGGGTAAATTTTAGAATGAAAAAGCTATTTTCTACAAGTACTTAGACCTTGAAGAAATCACTGTAGAAAAAGGTGACATTTTCTGGGCTTTATAGAGTAGTTTTTCTGATGGAGTTTAACGGCCTTTGCATGACTTTGGTCACAAGACATCCCTGGCACACCTGTGACATCTTGCATTATTAGGCACTGCAAATAGTGCACAATAAGGACTAAAATTGCAGGGTGTGACATTCTGGAATGACTCTTTTTCTTTGATTGTCCCACACAACACAGAACACCAACAGGCATTCATCAGCCCATAAAACAAAACAACAAAAACATACAAACAAACAACTGTCATAGTTGGCCTTCCACACCCAGGTTTGCTGCTTGGGAGTCAACTGAGCCTGGATGTAACAGAAAGAGGAGGGCCCTGCTGCTTTTGCCCCTTATCAATGCAGCCCAGCAGCTATGGACACAGTCACCTTGTCTCCAGTGGAAACTCTGTAAAGCATCCAAGAGGGCAGATGTGGTGACTCACATGCACAACTGCAGCACTGGGAAGGCTGAGGCAAGAGGATCGAAAGCTCCAATCAGCTCAGACTACGCAGAGACTCTCAAAAATCAAAGCAAATCATGTGCCGGAAGTGATGTGTCTCATGAAGATATACACTATCTTGCATGGGGTGCTGAACACCCACATTCTAGTATCCAGGGGTCTTGGACCAGCCCCTTGCTGTTACTGGAGGTGACAACTGAAGAGTCCTAGAACACTGAGTTTTCCAAATGCAAGGGAACAGTGGGCAATGCCTTACTTCCCTTACATGTTAGAAGTGACGTGACAGCCAGCAAGAAAGAGAAGCATGGGTTAGATACCCGTGTGCTTCTCACCTGTCACCCCTGTACTAGGGAGGCTAAATCAGGAGGACAGCCAGAGTTCAAGGCCAGCACTGGCTATACTGTAAGTCTGAGCCAGCCTTGGGAAGAGTGAGAGTCCAAGAACAAAACAAAATGGAGCTTGAGTGTGGCTTAGGGGTAGATCATTTGCCCAGCATCTGAGGCCACCATAGTCCTAACCACACTACAGAAAGATTTGGTAACTGTCAGAAGCACTGTGTGGTGGCTTGAGTAAGAATAGCTCCAACCAGACAGTGGTGGTGCACACCTTTAATCCCAGCATTTGGGAGGCAGAGGCAGAGGATCTCTGTGAGTTTGGAGGCCAGCCTGGTCTACAGAGCTACACAGAGAGACCCTGTCTGGAAAAACCAAAACCAAATGGCTCCCAAAGGCTCATAGATTTGAACGCTGAGTCAGCAGAAAGGGACACTGCTTGAGAAGGATTAGGAGGTGTGGCCTTGAAGGAAGTATGTCATTAGGGGTGAGCTTTGAGGTTTCAAAATCCCAAGCCAGGTCCAGGGGCTATCCACTCCTGTCTCAGTTCCTTCTCCAGTGCCATGTCTGCCTACAAGACACCAAGCTTCTTCCTGCTATGATGGCAATGAATTAACCCCCTGAAACTGTAAGCCAGCTCCAATTAAATGTTTTCTTTTATAAGAGGTGGCACAAGCATGGTGTCTTCACAATAGAACACTAAGACAGAAGTTGGTACCAGGAGTAGGGAATTGCTGTGTCAGCCTGACCATGCTGCTTGTTGGTGGAACAGGGACTTTGGATTAGAAAAGCAACTGAATGCTTTAAGTGAGACTTAATGAGCCATGCTAATAGAACACAGTGGTGCTGACAACAATGTAGATTATAATGATCAACTCAAGAGGTTTCATAGGAGAAGAATATTATTGGTAAGGGGCTTATAGTTTGGTGAAGAATGTGGCTGCTTTCTGCCCTTGTCAAAAAAAATCTGCCCAAAGCTAAATTCTGAAGAGTTTTGAATTAATGACATTGGCAGAGATTTCAAGACAGCCTATTATTGACTGTGTTCTGTGGTTATTAGTAGTCACTCTTATGCAGATCTGTAATGGAAACGAGCAATCTGAACAAGGAAAAAATGCAAATTGTACAGTTTGAAAAGGAACACCAGGAAGTATAATCTCCTGTGCTCAAGGAGATAAAAAGTTTAAATGGAGTGGTGACCTCAGGATATGATCCCACCCAGCTAAGCTTCCAACTTGTGAAACAGAAACAGTTCAGGGCCAGTTGTGATACTGGTCACCTTTAAAGCCAGCACTGGGGAGGCAGAGGATGTGGTGACCTCAGGATATGATCCCACCCAGCTAAGCTTCCAACTTGTGAAACAGAAACAGTTCAGGGCCAGTTGTGATACTGGTCACCTTTAAAGCCAGCACTGGGGAGGCAGAGGATGAGATCTCTGTGAATTTGAGGCCAGCCTGGTCTACAGATTGAGTTCTAGGACAGCTACATTTAGTCAGTGAAGGAAACCAACTCATGAAAAGGAATTAAAGAAAAATTTAAGCAGTGGAGGATAGCACTGAAAACAGAAAGCTGATGAAAATGTAATCATGCCAGGGAGCCATGTGTCAGTTTCAGCAAGCAGAAGGACTTGGCAGCTTCAGCCACATGGTTCTGGCTTTAGAGTCAAGGATACAAGAAAGGGACTGTGGAATCTCCCTCCATGGCTAGGGAAAGCCACTGAGGCCAGACATGGAGACCTAGAGAGGCCACTAGGTTCTGGGCCATTAGCAGTAGCCCTGGTGCTTTCTCCACTTGAGAGCACCTACTGTGCATTTACATTCCCACACTAAGTCCCCTTTCTCCTGACCCTGTCTGTTGAGATGGGCACCTCTCCTTCACAGTGGTTCCCCTCCAATCTCAGCTTTCTCAATCCATGCCTATTTCTCATCTTCCACCTGACCCTGACCTCCACTACACACACTACCAATAACGGCTTCTATCTCACCTCTAGTGGTGACCATCAGCATGCTAGGCTATGCCCAGTGTCCATGTGGCAGAAGCAGTCTTCTGAGGACCATGTCCCTCCAGTGAAGTCATGCCCAGGCCCCTATACCTGGGTGCCTTCTTACCAAGTGGTCTGAGCTTCCCTCACCAATTTAAGGCCACTGGCTTCCTCCCATGCTTAGCACTGGCTGAAGCTGGAACACCCCACCCCCATCTGATCTCTGCTCCAGCTCATTTCAGCTGTGCATCCTGAAATCACAATGCTTCTATATGTAAAGCAAGGATGGCCACAGACCAGCTCATAGGTAGCCAGTGTGGAGTCAACAGTATGCTCAAAACACCACTGAGCATACAGCTAACAGCTGGGGCTGGGGCAGGATTCTGGGCAGAGCTTGGGTCATAACGTAAGACCCCATCTCTTTTAATTAAAAAAGAAATAACAAACAAAATCAGGGAGGGCTACACAGATGGTTAAGAGCACTTGTTCTTGCAGTAGATCCAGGTTAACTTCCCAGCAACCACAGACTGGCTCACAACCATCTATGACTCCAATTCCCAGGGATCCAAGGCAGCTTTCTGACCTTTCTAGGTATCAGGTATGTGGTGCATAGACACACATGCAGGCAAAACACTCTTTAGCATCTTATCTTGTTTTTACACAGAGTTCTGTAGTCCAGGCTGGCTGCCAGCTCTGCTCTTCCTGCCTCCCAGGGCTGTGATACTCCTTTCAATTACCATATGCCCTTGAACACCCATCTCTTTGTACCCTAGGATAGTCCAGCAGGGGAGGTGAATGGTACTCAACAGCTCTTGCAAAATAAATAAATAAATAAATAAAAATAGAGGCTGGAGAATAGCTCAGCTGTACTTGCTGTTCTTCTAGAGGACCCACCTTCGATTTCCAGCACCCATATGGCAGTTGAAAACTTTCTCAAACTCTAGTTCCTAGGTATCTGACACCCCCTCTGGCTTCTCAGACACTGCATTTACATGGTATACAGACATACATGTAGGCAAAACACTCACACAAGGAACAGAATTATTTCTAAGATAAGAACATGCCATTAAAAAAAGAAAAATACAAAATAAGCATTCCTACCAGTAAGCAGGGTCCTGTAGGAGTAGTGTTCTCTCTCTGGGAGACAGCCTGCCTTGGATGACACGCATGACAAGCTGGTCAATGGTGTCCACCACCCTGTGGTCCGCCCGCTGGGGGACTGCTGCAACACACAGAATGGATGCTGTGAAAACCAATGGACCACAAAGGCCTGGAGACCAGGACAGTGACCTGGAGGCAGCACAAAACCCCACGGCCATCAGCAACTGAAACCATCAATCTCAGAACACTGGTTGAAAAGTGGGAAACCTGGCTGAAACAGAAAATGTCTGTCTGAAAGATGTCCTGCCTCAGCCATGAGCAATGAGAGTCACTCAGCTGCACAGAGTCAGGTGTGGGCTCCAGAAAGGAGCTGGTAAGCATCCAGCCACCACCACTGCATACACTGCTTAAAGCCTGACTGCTTGAGTACTAGCCCAGAAAACAGGCACATGTGAGACGCAGCTAGAGGCATAGGTGGCTCTGTGTCCCTGTGGCCACAGCTTCTCAGGAGGTCAAGTAGGAGGATTGTCTGACCCCAAGAGTTTCCAAACAGCCTAGGCAACAAACAAACAAACAAAAAAACTAACCCTGGGGTCAAAGAGATGGCTCAATGGCTGTGTATGCATGAGGACTCAAGTTCAAATCCCCAACACCCAATTAAAAAAGCTGGGAGTGACAGCAAGTGCCTGTAACCCAGTGCTGTGGGAAGTGGTGACTGGAGGATGTTTGGAGCTTGCTGTCCACCAGCCTAATTCCAGGTTTAGCTGATAGACGCTGTCTCAAGGTAGTAAGAGGGAGAGAGATAGACAGGATACCTGATGTCCTCCCATGGCCTGCACATCACACATATACCCCACACTCATGGATATATATACACACAAAACAACCAAACAAGCGAAAAATGCATCAAAATACCCCCAAACATAAAATATAAGAGCACCATTGATGGGGCTCAAGAGATGGCTTAGTTGGAGAGAGCTTCCTGCACAGCCATGAGGGTCCTAGCACCCACAGATAAGCTGAGTGTGGTCTTGTGCATACTTGTCACCAGGGCTATCTGTGAGTGTGGATTCTGGGTGTCCTGTGCTGTCACTGTCACCTTTCTCCTTGAGATTCTTTCAATCTCAATGCTGGGAGATGTGCTCACAGGTTTCAGAGTGCATCACAGTTAAAACAAAGCTTTAGAATGACTTCAGGTTGGAGTAACATGTTTTGATAATAGCTTTGAGATGAAAAACCCTAGAAAACAATCTAAAGTTCACAAGAACACATAGCTGAGGGGCTCATTAAGGTCAGGGATCAAAAAAGCAGCCCAACTGTTAAAAGCTGACATACCTTTCTTGCTAGGATTGGTTGTAATCAAAGATAATGATTAATTCCTTATACCCATCTTTGCCCTCAATTTCCTGATACAAAAATTTTTTGGTGAGTGGGTATACACTCTAGAGATTGAAAGTAGAGTTAATGGATTCCTTTTCATATATAAAAGTTTAGGTTTGGGCTGGAGAGATGGCTCAGCAGTTAAGTCCTGAGTTCAGTTCCCAGCAACCACATGGTGGCTCACAACCATCTGTAATGAGATTTGGTGCCAAACACTGTACACATAATAAATCTTTAAAAAAAATTTTAGGTTTATGATTTGTCTAAGATTTCTTACAAGATTATCTTTTGAGATAAATAATGATAAAATGATTGGTCCATTTATTTATTTATTGGTAATCTCAAAATGGAGCTTGCTAGCAAAAGAACCGGCTGAGAAAAATAGCTTGCTTGCTTACAATCTGATAATCTATAACAAGTTGTTTGGACATGAATGTATGTGGGTTCTTGGGACAACTTGTTTTTCACCTATAATAACCTAAATAACTTGTTTAATCAAGTAAGGGATATGGAAAATATGATGTTTTTTTACTTGTAATCATTCACTTGAAAAATAGAATGTAACCACATTGTAATTTTTATATTGCTTTAAAGATTCTATTGGGGTATATAAGCTGTAACAGAAAAAAATATCATCAAAAGAAAAACATCAAGAGACAGAAAGGACATTTCTGGATAGAGATAAGAAAAGAGATACAGGGTGGCTGGAGAGATGGCTCAGAGGTTAGGAGCACTGGCTGTTCTTCCAGAGGTCCTGAGTTCAATTCCTACAACCACATGGTGGCTCACAACTATCTGTAATGGGGTCTTCTGACGCAGAGCATCATATACATTAAATAAATAACTTAAAAACAAATTAAACCCACACGCCTCCTCAGATAAAAAAGTCTTAGGAAGCCAACTCCATGGGTCCCCTTTGAGCCTTGCACTGGTGTAGGCTGGTCACCCTGGCAGCCAGTGGTAGACTGGCAGCTACTAGCGAGCCTTAGTGGACCACAAGCCACAGCCATCCTCCTGCTCTGGACTCACAGAACTGGGGTTATGGGTATGGCCCCCAAGTTTTAGGTGGTTGTTGGGATCTGAATTCAGGTCCTCAAGTTAATTCAGTAAGTGTTCTTACCACACAGCCATTTCCCCAATCCTTCTTCTTTTTTAATAATTAACTTGAGAGGCAGAAGCAGGCGGATCTCTGTGAGTTCGAGGCCAGCCTGATTTACAAGTTCCAGGACAGCCAGGGTTACACTTGGAAACCCTGTCTCCCAAAAAAAAAAAAAAAAAAAAAAAAAAAAAAAAAACCCAAAACAAACAAAACACCAACCCAACCCAATCAAATAAAAAAAAAAATTAACTAATTAATGTGTGAAAGCTTGCACGCATATCACAAGCAGGTAGCAGCCAGAAGACAACTTGAGAGTCCATTATCTCCCTCTACCATGTGAGTCATCGTGACTGAATTTAGGCTGTGCCTTTACCTGAAGACCCATCTTGTGGGCTCCTCTTTTGTTTTGTTTTTATTTTTATTTTGTTTTGTTTTTGTTTTTATTTTTATTTTATGTGTATGCGTGCTTTGTCTATGTGTGTCTGTGTACTACTTGTGTATCTGATACCCATGGAGGCCCAGATACTAGGCATCCTGGATTGGAGTTACAGTTGTGAGCTACCATGTGGGACCTCTGCTCTGGAAGAGCAGCCCGTGCTCTTCTTAAGTGCTGAGCCATTTCTTCAGTTTATCCTCTTGTTTTCTCAGTCAAGCTCTTGCTATGCAGAGCACAGGCCAGCCTCAAGTTTACAGCAATCCTGTCTCTCTTGGCCTGTGCCACCATGCCAAGGTCAGCAAGCACTGAGCATTTGTTGTAGGGATGGATGACACTAACGGAAGCAGCTGAGCAATTCTGGTAGGCCATGGTCTATGGCTGACCACACAGCTGTGCACTCACAACAGAGGCTGTCAAGGACACATGCCCAGCTCTGCTTCAGAAACCACTACTACAAGGCAGTGAAAGCCCCTAAAGGCAAAGCAGAGTGACTTACACATGGTGGGCGACATAATGTAGTGGAATGCTACAGAACTCATAGATAAGCTGAGACATCATGCCTCCCAGCATATGGGGTAGCTGAGGCAGGGGATCGAAAACTTGAGGCTAGCTAGCCTAAGCTATATCTCAAGACCCGATCTTAAAAAAAAAAAAAAAAAGAAAAAGAAAAAAAAAAAAGAAAGAAAAAGAAAAAGACAAATGAGGGGCTACAGAAGTTAACAGTGCTTGCTGGTACCTTGCACACCTGCAGCCCCACTTCAATGATCTAATACCCTCTTCTGGCTTCTGATCTCATATACTCAGACATGGAGACACACAAATAAAAATTTAAATCTTTCTGGGTGGGGTTGTGCACAAAACACAAAAACAACAAAACAAACCTAAACAGATTGCTGAGCAGGCAGTTGCACCCTCAGGTCAGTGTGTCTGCTGCTGCAGTGCCTGGATCCCCACCTAGAGAGGGGAGCCCAAGGCCTTAGGCCCTTCCTCCTCTACCCATAGCACCTGGCACTTGCTACCCTCATTTCCCCCCAGCACTAGGGGATGGGGAGGGGAACGCATGCAGTCTGCTTCTGGAAGATCCTTCTGAGAAGTAGTCACAGCCACTCATCTGTGTTGGGACATCTGCTGCCTGGTGCAATAAGGGCTCCATTAAGGAGAGGGCAGGGGTAAAAATGACATGTCACAGGAGAGAAAAGATGGCTACTATGTCCTCTGGTGCCTGGGAAGGCTGGGTGTGACAGCATGCATGCTGGGAGCACAGGACCTCTGACCAGTGCCAGAGCTGCTGCTGACTGTGAACCAGGTGAGGCACCAGTACCAGTACCTCCTGGAGTGACTCAGCTGGTTCTTGATGCCCCTCAGTACTCTAACCACCCCTCCTACCCCCTGGGCACAGGACTGACTAATCTTAGTGTTCTGTTTTCTCTGCCTTTGGTGATGGGTAGTGACAAGATACTTCAGAACATGGCATCCTAACCTTGATCCTATGATGAAAGGGGGTCATGCATTATTCCTAGTGAGAGCCAGCCAATTTTCCATTTGATTCCCAAATGGGTCTCTTCCCAAAGAATCTTAAGGCTGGAAAACTAGGGCTCAGTGGATACAGCACTCACCTAGCATGCATGAAGCCCTGGGCTCCAATCCCAGGACCACAGAAAGCAGGGGAGGCAGTACATTTCTGTCATCTCGGCCTTCAAAAGTAGAGGCAGAAAGAGCAGAAGTTCATGGCCAGCCTGGGCTAAATGAGACTGCCTCAAAACCAAGGGTAAAACAATTGGGTCCTTGAGTTCTACTCTGAGTGTTTCTTAAAAAGTATATAAAAATCTCAAAGAGAGGGGCTGGATCAATGTCTCAGCAGTTAAGAGTACATACTGCTCATGCAAAGGGCCCAGGTTCTGTTCCCAGCACTCATGTTGTGCAGCACACAACTGCCTATAACTCCAGCTCCAAGGAACCTGGCACCTTCTGACTTCTGTCAGGTCCTACACATATACAGTATACACACTCAGGCACATACATAGATAAGTATTAAAATACAGATGTATGTATATATAATTATATTTTTTACATCTCAAAGAAGGTCTAGGGCAACCTCTGTTACCTTACAACAATGAGGACCTGTGTTTGATCTCGGGTCTGATATTAAATGCCTTGAGCAGTGATGCACACATATGCCCGAACCAGGAAGGTGGCCAGCCTAACATATCATATCAGCGAGCTTCAGGTTCAGTGAGAGGCCCTGTCTGTTTCAAAGATGGTGGACAGTCTTTCTGAACCACAACACCTGAGAGATGCTGTCTTCTAGTTTCATACATACACACATGCACCTGCAAACACATATGTGCACACATATTTTTAAAAATCTGAGGACAGCAAGATGGTTCAGTGGGTCAAAGTGCTTAAAGCCACTCTGGTGACTGAAGTTCCTTCCCTGGGACCCATGTAGTAGAAGAAAAGAACTGATTCCCACAAGCTGTCCTCTGATGACCTCTTAACATGTGCCCTGGCACTTGTGTATCCATCCACACACACACAATGAATAAAAATACTCTAACACTGGGCCAGGCGGTGGCAGTGCACCAGTACTGGGGAGGCAGAGGCGGATGGATCTCTGAGTTCAAGGCCAGCCTGGTCTACCAAATGAGTTCGTTTCAGGACAGGCTCCAAAGCTACACAGAGAAACCCTGATTTGAAAAACCAACCAACCAAACAAACAAAAATCCTGTTAACACTGGTAGTGATGACATTGTTTAAAAAAAAAAAAAAAGAAAAGAAAGAAAGAAATCTTTACCTTGGCTCAGAGTGCTTGCAGCCCAGGGCTGAGGTGTGATTTTCTGTTCTCGGGGCTCTGCAGGCACAGCCCTCTTGACCTGGAGGGGATAGCCACTGGCCATGAGCCAAGCCTTCAGGTGGTCTATGTATTCCCTTCCAAACAAAGTGGAGTCCTCAAAGTTTGGGAAGGAAGCAGGAGATGGAGCGATGTCCTGGAGGCCCACAGCCTCTAGGATCTTCTCCTGCCTGAAGGAGGAGGCCAAGGAGAAGGTCTGGCCTAGGAGTGCCAGGGACTTCCTACACAAGGAGTTAGTGGTCTCCAGGGCCACGGCCAGGTCCAGAGGGCTAGTGAGGGTCTTCATCTTCACACTCAGCTCGTAGGCATTACAGGCCATGAGCAGGGGAGTGACGCCCTTCAGCAGCCTGTCCTGGAGCCGCATGATGTACTTGTCGAAGGGCTTGATGATCTCAAAGAAGCAGTTTTTGGTCTTCACAGCACCTTTGTCTAAAAGCATGTTTAAAAACTCGTTATCAACTCGGGGTGTTTTCAGAGCAGAGTGCTTTAAAAACTTGATAGTAAAAAAGCAGAAATCTCTGTGCTCCGGTTTTAAGGAGCATTTGAAGGAGGCCAGCATCTTGGCACAGGTCTCAGTTTCCAGTTCAAAAAGAGTCTGGAAAAGTTGGGAGAACTTGAGGTCATCCTTGATGGTGTGGAACCCCGCCCATTTGATGATCTCTATGCCAAACCTTGAAAACACATCTGCCTTCTCCATGGTATCAAAGCCCAGCTTCCTTCTGGGGAAGCCCAGGGCCCTCAGGTCCAGCCCCAAGGGCATCTTCAGAGCAGCCAACTGGATTTCATCCAACCCTGGGCTTGTTCCGAGGGTCACATCAGGACTTGGGGTGGTTTTTTGGATTTGGTTAGTGCCCTGAGGTTTGGAAGTAATACGACCAACAACAGGCATTTTCTTTGTGGTCATGTTTTTCAGTGTGATAAGCTTCCCGACACCCTTTGCTGTGAGCAGGCCCTGAGTGTCCCCCTTTCCTAAGAGAGTGCCTTCCTGGTCAGCCATGTTCAGAGACCGGCCTCTGGCCAGGACTTGCCCACTGCCTCTAGACACAGAGTTCACATCCCCACGATGGTCCAGGTCATAATCCGGATTCTCCTTCTCCAACCGCCTAGAGGAGGCCAAGCCCCCCAACACTGAAGACCCAAAACCATACTCCTGTGACCAGGAGGATTCTTGAGAAACTGGGTGGCCCAAGTCTTGCTCCCAAGTGCCACGGAGCGCAAGCTTCCAGTCCTGAGAAGGAAAATGTCCCATTTTCCGGTGGCCAAAACTCTGGTCCCGGGAGTCAGTATGGGTTGCTTCCAGATCCCGGCCACATTCTTTGCGAAGATAGCTGTCCTCACTGATGGACTGATTGCTGGATCTGAAGGAGGGTCCTGCAAACATGTCACCTCTCAGGCCCTCTCTCCCCAAGTCTAGTGAGTACACTCCAGGTCCACTGGCGGAGTACCTGCTATCACCATGAACGTCCTCGTAGATATCTGCTCTGGCTCTTGAGCCTGTCCTTAAGAGATCTGAAATAAATAGCCACAGAAAGACAGAAGACACTTTAGAGCAATGGGCTGCAAGGGAATGGCCCACACACTAGCCAACACAAGTTCGTATACTCCAAGTGTGAGGTGCAAACTTATTCTGCTGCTAACATTGTGTAAATGGGCAGAGGCATCTGGACAGCTCAGTGAATAAAGTGCTTGCCATGCAAGTGTGAGGACAGGAGACCAGATCCCCAGAGCCCACAGGAAAACCAGGCAGGTGTGGCTGCCTGTAGTCCCCACGCTCAGGAGTGGAGACACGGGTCAGCAAGAGACCCAGTTTCAATACACAAAGTGCAGAGTGAGCACCTGGGGAAGATATCTGCACACACTGAGCACAAAGATGTACACAGGCACCACACACACACACACACACACACACACACACCAATAAAGAAAATGTGTGTGGTGCCATCTCCAGCTCTCTACTGGCCAGTTTGCACAGAACCAGTGAGAACTGCAGTCACGTATTCAACCAAGTAAGAGTAGAAGTACCTAGGAAACTTGCACCTGCACTCCCTGGGTGGCTTTTCTCACTGTGCTTAGCTGCACTGGGGGGATTCGAAACGCATGGAAGATATGAACATCTCCATGCTGTGCAGACACCACCATGCTATTACATTCAAAGGGGGAAGCATCTTCCAAGCTTGCACTATATAGGGGCTGGGGACCCCATGTCCTATGGGCACTGAGGGGTGATCACACTTACCAAGTCAGGTCTGTAAGCACCAGGCTTGTGCTTGCCCTTGTGGCCATTAGCCAAGGCAGGGTAGTGGGTAACCCCACAGGCACACATTAGCATCAGACGGAGGCTCTAGCACCAGCCACCACCTCCACCTCCCTTTAGAGAAGGGGCTTACTTTCTATGCAGCCTGCATCTTTTGCCACACCCAGCCCTCTTCAGGGTTCCACTTCTGTCCCAGAAGTTTTAGAGAAGCTGCCACTCTCACTGCCTCCTGGAGGACTTCATGTCCCACACTGCCACTGGGAGGCAGCAGCTTTGGCCCATGCCACACCCATGACAGCTGAGCAGGTGACAACTTGGTATCTGACCCCAGTGTGGTAGAAAGGCCATTAACCCTGTCTCTGGGGCTGAAGCAGAGACACAGCAGCTAAGAGTAGAAGGAGCCACATTAAGTGGAGCTATAATGGAGAGTGGAGGGTCAACCCGGATGGAGGGTGCACAGGTACTGTCACAGTGACTGTTGCACACAGAAACACTCTAAGAAGCTGCCCACAGAAGCCATCTATGGCAGTAGCAGGTCTCAGACAGCTTTCTCACAGTTGAATTTTTAAACAGAATCTACAATAAAGGAAAAAAAATTATCTGACAAAAACGAGTCCCAGGTCTGGTAGCAAATACCTGAAGATCAGCATTCAGGAGATGAGAGGGGAGGACTGAGAGTTCAGGACTAGCTGGGCTACACAGTGAGTTTGAGGCCAGTCTGAGCTACAGAATGAGACTTTGGTGGAGACGAGCTAGGGAGAGGTGAGTAAAGTGGTTGTTGCACAAACAAGAAGAACTGAGTTGTACCCCAGGACCGGGGAGGCAGAGACAGGAGGATCTCAGGGCCAACTGGGCCAGCTAATCTAGTCACATCAGCAAGCTCCATATGCCTCAAAGAGCAAGGTGAGGCCACAGAGATGACTCAGTGGTAAGAGCACTCACATTTTCAGAGAGATGGATCAGTGGTAAGAGCACTAGCATTCCAGAGGACGTGGGTTCGGTTCCCAAACCCACATGATGCAGCTCACAACTGCCTGCAACTCCAGCTTCCCAGACAGATCCTGCACTAATCTGTAGTCATACAAATTAACCACAGGGATGGGGCCTTGCCTAGTCACCTATGGTCTTAAGGCAGGTAGCCAGGGATGGGTTTTGTCTGCTGAGATATACCAAATAGTCAGCCCTCAAATGCTCAGAGATCTAGAGGATATGGCATTTAAAATGTTTTGTTAAAAAGCTTTTTATAACAGAGAGACAGGCCAGCTGCTAGCCCCACCTCATTTCTTCCAAGAAGACTGGTGGGCATCAAAGAAACTCCACCCACAAAAGTGGTAATGCTGGCTACTTAGCAACCCTCAACTGTTGCAAAGGACTCTTAAGACTGTGGACAAGAAGACAGTGGCGCCAGGCATTGGTGGCACAAGCCTTTAATCCCAGCACTCAGGCAGAGGCAGAGGCAGAGAGGCAGAGAGGCAGAGAGGCAGAGAGGGAGGCAGAGAGGGAGGCAGAGAGGGAGGCAGAGAGAGAGGCAGAGAGAGAGGCAGAGAGGCAGAGGCAGATCTCTGTGAGTTCGAGGCCAGCCTGGTCTCCAGAGCGAGTGCCAGGACAGGTATCAAAGTTACACAGAGAAACCCTGTCTCAAAAAAAAAAAAAAAAAGAGGACAGTGGAATCACAACTTTCTCCATGTTGCTTGGGTCAACGGTAGGCAAGTCTTCCTACAGTTCCTAATTCACAGGTCCCATTCTATCAGCAGAAAACAAGTGTCATTAAAGCTGCTGCCCTCAACAACTATGGAGGACCTTGGGAGTGGCTGTCCATGCAGCCTGCTGCCAAGTCTGTTATTCTTTATAATCATTAACTCAGGTGAAATTTTATACTTCTCAGGAACTCTGATGCTTTTGACGGCTGGTAGCTTTGCCAGCTTAAAGCAACAGCCAAAGCTCTAACTGTCACAAAACAGATTTCAGGAACAGGTATTTTAAGGTTTATCTATATAAAGATGGCAATACAAGGTATATGAAGGTCTAAATATAAATACAAGTTATGAAGGTCTGAGGATAAAAAGACTTAAGTGATGGCAAAAAAAGTGAGTTGAGACATTAAAAAGAATGAAATATGTTCCAGATTTCTCACTTTCATTATGCTACTGTTCATAGTAAAGTTCTGATAAGCTACTAATCCAACTCTGACAGAGTACAAAACACCAAGCTATATCACTATACGATTATAACTGCAAGGTCAAGATTAAGGTACTTTTTATTATGCAAAAAAAATGTCAGTTTTAAAAATGTTAATGCTTTTAGGCAAGTCACTTCTAACATAAATATGCTTCTAATGTTTTCACAAACTCAAGGATTCTTGTAAATTCCAGGGAGCTGAATTGGACCCATCCAAACAGGTCAGATTCACTCCAAATAAATATTATTCAATCTCTCCCTGGTTCTGGGACTCCCTTCTTAAGAGGATGCTGCCAGTGGCGTACACCTTTAACCCCAGCACTCAGGAGTCAGAGGCAGGCGGATCTCTGTGAGTTCAAGGCCAGCCTGATCTACAAAGTGAGTTCCAGGACAGCCAGGGCTACACAGAAAAACCCTGTCTCAAACAAACAAACAAACAACACCCCCCCCCAAGAAAGAAAGCTGGTCCCCTCTTCTGGGAGTGCCAGCTGTCCCTCAGGTGCACATACCCACACACAGACACACAAATGTGCAATCTAAAAAAATATTTAAAAAGCAAAACAAAGTGTAAAGTTCTTAAGGAAAATACCAGATGTCAACTTTTAGTCACCATGCACATGCCTGTGCACCCACCACATGAACACACACAAACATGAACACATGTATACAATTCCCCCTCCCCCCCCAAAAAGCAAGCAAGGGGACAGGTATCAAGAAGCAGAATAATGGAAAACAAAAATCCACACTCCCGGGGAAATACAAGTTCCCTTCTTTGGCAAGCACTTACTGAGCACCTACTATGTACTCACTAGGCACTGCCATTACTGAAGGAAAGGAGATGGATCAGTGGCAGAGCCCTTGTTTAGCACGTTTCTGGTCCTGGGTTTCACCCTAAGTGAAAACCACCACATGCATACCCACCTACCAACACCTCACTGCCCTGCACACACATACACACACTGGGGGAAGGTGGGTGCTAAGAAGGGCATCCAATGGGCAGGAACACAGTGAGAAATGCCATCCTCACATACTCTCACCATGTATCAAGTGGCAGCACCTGGTGTTAAGGGCTGGGGGGGCGGGGTGCTCGGCACAGACATGAAGTTCCACCCCTCAGGCTCTGACTATGGTCTTGGTGCAGTCAAGGTGGCAGAGCTAAGAGGCAGGAATGGTGGCTACATCATACATTTCCCACACCCTGGGTTACAGAAAAATGTCCAGTACAGAGCAAAAGCCTAAAGACAGGAAAGATGATGAGACACCACCAGAACCATCCAGCTCACTCTAAGGTTACTGTTTCTCTGCCAATCAAGTTTTCTTTCTCTCTGTTCTTTTAAGGCAGGGTCTTACTATATAGCCCAAGCTCACAGGAATCCTTCTGCCTCAGGCTCCTCAGTATGTACCACAACACAATGCTCCAGTAGGTGGTCTTGAGGAAAGAAATTAAGATGTGATGTGTGGAGGCTGGGGAGATGGTTCAATGGGTAACAATGCTTGCTGTGCAAGCAAGAGGTACAAGGTTCAAGATCCTTCATTGATAAAAAGCCAGGCATGGCTGCAATCCCAGCACTGACAGGCAGAGTTATAAAAGGGAGACGGTCTTAAAACCTACACTACAGAACTAATCAAGCTTAAAAAAGAATCATTTTCTATAGCAATAACAACAAAACAACAACAGATCTTAAACATTTTCAGTATGTTTATTATTTTATGTGGGGATACATCTACAGCAATCCACAAGTAGTGGTTTAGACATGACTGCAAGAACTGATTTCAGTCCCAGCCAGTTTGCTGGAGGTTGAAGCAGTGTCTTAAAAGGGGGACAGCTGCTCAGATGGTTCAGCGAGTAAGCGTACCTGCCACAAGCCTGACTGACAACTGAGTCCAATCCCTGGAACCCACATCGTGGAAGGAGAGAATCAACTTCTCCAAGCTGTCCTCTGACCTGTGTGTTTAACCGCGAGCGCGCGTGCGCGCGCGCGCACACACACACACACACACACACACACACACACACACACACACACACACACACACACAGGAACCCTCTGTAGAGGCTAGGGTGTAGTCAGTGGCTGAGTGTTTGCTTCAGCATGAGTAAGGCCCCAACAGCAAAATACCCTCAAATTCTTCTTTTGTGGGAGGGTGTCTGACTGACACCCCACACACTGACAGCAGCACCTTCTGCACACTGATCTAGCTGGCAGGTGGGCCACAAGAAAATGTGATTCCCCCTGACAAATCCAGCAAGGACCAGAGGAGCTTGGCTGACACCCACCTGCGAATCTTAACTTACCTTGAGCTTTGAGCTGGAGAGCTTCACCGACAGCCTCAGAATCCCCATACCGTTTACATTTCTCCTGTAATACAGTATCCAAAGATTCCTGTGCCATCCGCCTTGCTGCCATGTTTTCCTCTCCTACAGTGAGAGAAGCCACACTAATCAAGACAGCTTGCCCTAGGGTAAAAAGACCACTACCAAAAACAGGGTAACAGAAATGGGAGAACGACCTAGAAAAAAGTATTTGGAGAAGGGCTTCCCAGAGCTCACTTCACCCTGAGAGCTCTCTGGATGAGTGAATGATATTCTCACAAGGGGACAATAAGTTAGCAACTGTACAGTCTGAGCTAGTCTCAGTGGAAGAACTCTTTTGCTTCTTTCAACAACACACCAAAGAGCTGCATCCTTCTAGCACAGATCTGAGACATTACAGGAGGAGGTGGGTGTGATGCTGCAGACCAGCACTTAGGAAGCTGAGGCAATGGGATTTCCAGTTCCAGCTCAGCTACATGATGAGAACCTGGAAAGGGGGCTGGGGGACTGGAGAGGCAGCTCAGTGGTTAAAAGTGTTTACTGCTTTTGAAAAGAACTGGAGTTCAGTTCCCAGTACCCACACTGGGCAGCTTACAACTACCTACAACTCCAGGTCCAGAGGATCTGATGACCTCTTTTGGCTCACACTGGCACCTGTACCCACCCACTTGCCCCTATCCAGCCCCGTAAATAAAATCTTTAAAGGGGAGGAGGGGTCCGGGGTCCGATGACCTGACTGCAATCTGGCATCTGACAAATTGTCTCCCAATTTCCACCCATGTGCTCTGGCTAACATGTACCCAGAAATACACAAAATGAAGACAAAAGTGGGGCACAAGGACACATGTGCCTGTAATCTCAGTGCTGAGGAAGAGCAGCAAGGGGGATCCCTGGAGTCTGTGACCAGCCAAACTAACCAATCCATAACCAGAAATCTATTACTGCCAACCCCCAAGATAGGACCTAGTAGTATGCACATGTAACCACTGCTATTTAGGGTGCTGAGCAACAGCTTAAAGCCTGTGTGGGCTACTTGTTCCAGGCCAGTCTACACTACACAGCAAAACCCAGTTTTGTGTGTGTATGTTTTTGTTTTGTTTTGCTACTACATGAGAGTAGTCCATGCTGGTGCTGAACTGTGATTGTGATCCTCCTGCTTCCGCCTTCTAAGTACTAGGATTCCTGGTACGCACTGCTATGGAGACCCTGTCCTTTTATTTTTATTTATTTAATTTTTTACTATTTTTTTTTTTTTTTTGTGTGTGTGTGTGTGGCAGGGTAGAGTAGAAAGGATTCCAGATATATGATCTAAACCACATATTCCCTGACTGGCCTCAAACTTAACATGTAGACTAGGGTGGCATCGAAAGTGCAGTGCTCCTCTTGTCTCTGCCTCCTGAGCACTAGAATTACAGGTGTGAGCCATCACACTCAGTTCGACATTGGGAGAAAAAAGCAGACTTGAAGTGTACCAACAAAAGCCAGGAGCCTTGGTCTTGAACCTGACCAACTGGGCACTCACTGGGAATGAGGAAAAAACCTAGGCAGCATTTCTATCAGTGACAGCCTGCCTCATGACACTCCCAAATTCAAGGGACAAACCAGCCTTCTGGTCATTTCTATAACCCTCACCCAGTTTCCTCACGCCCTGGGAAA